AACTTAAATCTCCTTAAATAAAAGTATTAACGTACTTTAAGAGGAAAAAGTAAAAGTATTTCCCATGGATTTTGAGGTGTTACAAAGCTTCAAATGTAATGGTTTTGATGAAGATTTGTGCTGAATTTTTGTTCAATCATCAGAAACAAATAAGTTTTTCTTTTCCCTAGCTCTTTTTATTTGTGTTTGCTCAAACTATGAATGTGTTCAAAATAACTCCTCAGCTTTTTCAGCACGTCTCATCTTCTTTTCAGTTCTGTTAAAAAATATAGGAGTAGAAAGCACAGAAACAAAAGTAAAAAAGTATCCACTGTAAAATGTACTTCACTATGTAACGTTGAAGGTTGAGGGTCCGCTACTTGCTTGTCTTCATAGAGATTTCTTTGCCTGGATTGTTTCGTAGCAGGGCATTAAAGGGACAGTTCGGAATTTTGCACATAGGGCCTCATTTCCTAGTGAGCCAGAGTACTGTGGATATGTGGAGACACTTTTTTAAATGTTCCATCCAGTCCTTGTATTTGCAGAGGTCACTGGTGCTAGGCTAGTGCATGTCAATGGCCATAGTTATCCTGTCACTAAAAACAGTCTTACCCACTCCACAAAACACCTGAGGCAAAACAACTCAAGACTGAATGTCTGTGTCGATAGAATAATTTTAGAAGTAAAACCAATCTTGCATTTGAAGGATTTATGTCTGAGCAGCAGCAGCAAGTTGTACTTCCTGATAGAAAACTTGGCAGCGGTGAACTGATATATGAGAAAATAGTCCCTCAACATGCGATGATTCATGCGATACAAGGTTAGTTTTATTTCGAACATTATTCTATCAACACAGACATTTACATCGACAGTCTGGTGTAATAATAGTTTTGCTTTGGGTGTTTTGTGGAGTGGGTAAGACTGTTTTTAGTGGCAGGATAACTATGGCCATTGACATGCACTAGCCCTAGCACCAGCGACCTCTGCAAATACAACGACTGGATGGAATATTTAAAAAAGTGTCTCCACATGTGTCCAACAGTCTGGCTCACTAGGAAATGAGGTCCTATGTCCAAAATTCTGAATGGACCCTTTAAACACATTTTCCTTGCAGTTGTTCAGGTGTTTAATAGCTTACTATGTGCAAGCTTGCTTCTCCATAGAGCTTTCCACTAGACTGTCTCCATTGTGATTATCAAGTTTATTTCAAGTCAAAACAGTAATATCAAGCAGGTAGTGGACCCTCTTCCAGAAAAGTTACGCAATGCACTTTTAAGTAAAGTACAGGTACCTAAAAAGTATGCTAAAGTACACTTCTACTTTTACTGCATTGCGTTCCACCACATGCCATATAAAGCTCTATTTGGCACAGTTTTAAGTCTCTGAAGCAGGAAGAACCTGGAGGGCGACTGAACCAGCGTGTGCATATGGGCTAATGGGACGCAGCCATACAGTGTGGTAACATGGTGATTTCTTATTATATGGTCGGTGGACGGGTGGGTGGTCCACTCTGTTCCATGGCTCTGGTGCTGGGGGGCTTCCTGTAGAAACATATGGAGAGGAAGGCAGACAGGATAATCCCATTGGCTTTCCACAAAACGCATTGTAATCCAGCGCTGGCAGCTACGCACATACGGTGACAACACGGTTAAATTGTGGAAAGTTTGAAGTCGCCCCAAGACCTTAAATAATGTTTTATGGCGTAGCAAATCTGCTTGACTGGCTCCAACAAAGCTCAGTTTCTAAATATTAAGACGGTTAAATTCTTGACAGACTGAGCGCAGCATGGAACTTACAACTTTGAATTTGAAACAGCAGACCTTTCACAGACTTGAAGTTAATATATAGGCTTGCTAAGTCAAGAATCCCCAAGCAAAAGAGCCTAATGATAAATCAATGGAGATTTTAAGATGTTTAAAGATGTTTAAAGGTCTTATATTACCCAAATTGGACTCTTGTGAGCTTTAAGATATGTTAGAATGCTGTTACCTCACCAAAAACACCTTGAGTTGTGTTTTCTTTCACTCACACACTTTTGAGTAATCTTGCATTATTAGTTTCTACCTTAATGAGCTTGGCTGAAATCAACTGAAATAGTATATAAACAAGATCTTAAAATTTTAGACTAGTGGTCATCAAACTATAGCCTGATTGAGCCTCTGATCTCGCAATGTTAGAATTTGTTTGCTTGACAGTAGGCGGGTACTTTTTTTCATTTAACCAATCACTGCTATTTGACCGTGACATATGTAACGCGCCACTAACGGGGCTAACTGGTAAATTAAGCTTTTCCTAAATCCCATAAGAAGAAGGGCAATAACGTCTTTTCCCTTTGATAAAATTCACCAAACATTCGCTTTGTTCCGGATTTAAATCCTCAACCTCGGGAATCATTGCCAACGTGGAATATATGGCTCTTCGCCCAAACTTGCACTTCCGGGGTTTTTGGAAACCGTCTAGTGTATTCTGATTCCTGACCAAGTCGTTGGAGAGAAATGAAATTGAGCGGGGGCACTAGGTGGCGCCAGCTTGGCTAATCAAACTAAGGCCCGCAAGCAAACTCCGGCCCTCCCTGCCCCCACCACTTGAACTGGCCCTATGAGGCAATCTTCAAAAGTTGTCATATTTACATGAATGACGTATTTACATGAATTTTCATCACCTGACAATCTCGAGATCAAAAAGTGACAGTCAACGCACACACAGAGTTCTGTAGTGCAGTTAAGGACAGCAAAATGACTTGTGTTAAAGTACAAAAAGTTGACAGGGAGTGCCAAGTTTTCAAAGAACAGAGGATGACTGATCATTTTTTGTTCAGGGTAAGGACCGTGCAGTTTGTCTGGTATGTAAAGAAAGTGTGGCAGTTTTCAAAGAATATAATCTGCATTGTCAGGGTCATACAGTTCTGTTATACGGCCGACCCGACTCCGGCCGCCATCACAGTGAGGAGCAATAATGTGGCCCCCAGAGAAAAAAGTTTGGTGACCCCTATTTCAGACAAAAAACTCACCAAAGACCCACCATCACTGCATTATTTTGAAGAAACACAACATATTAGGTTTTGATAACACGATAAAACCCACAGAGTCACATTACAAGAATTTGTTAAAAAAAAGAAATAAATAAATCAGAACAGATCAACAAGAGCAAGCTCAGAAGTGATTGTATAATACCATCAAGGAAAAGTGCCTTTGGACAGCGGTGTCGGCGGCAAGGTGGGGCATTTGAGGGCCGTGCCCCCCTAGCGGCAACTGGTGCCTCACCCCCCAGCACAGGCCGTTATTATTACTATTTAAAAATGATTTTAATTGGCGCATTTCACTTCGGGCTGAGGGCACAAACTTTACGATATCACAGTCTCTGTTTATTTAGTGTAGTGTGATTGGACAACTGTCCTGTCACTCACGTCAACCTGCTGCGTCAACTCGTAGCTGCTTCACGATTAGCGGCAGCTGCTACTTTAGCCTAAAGCTCCACACAGGAAATGGCGAGAACAGAGTCAAAGACACTGACAGACCCGCCGCCGGGACCCGGGACTGTCACTACCGCTGCTGGGGCCGGGACATTCTTTGCCGGGACTCGGGACAGTCGCCACTGGGGCCTTCACCTTATGAACAACTAAATGATTAATTGAAAGAATAATCACAAGATGAATTGATCACCAAAATAACTTTTAGTTGCAACCTTAGCAGATTCCCACCAGTCACGTAGTGTTAAATATTTAATTTTATAAATATACTATTAATACTCTACACAATAAAGATACATTTAGATTATCTTTATTTATTTCAGATTCAAGAGATTTTATTGTCATCTTCATAGGAAGCAATAGTTTAACGCATCAAACACTGCATTAGTTTTGATGTGAAGCACAATATTACAGGTGTAAAACCCCACCCAATAACCCCTGAAGTACTAACTCCAGTGTAAACATTAGCACAGTAAGGACATTCAGGGCAGCACATATATAATAATGCAACAATGCAAAGTCCAGGTCACTGATATTTTATTGGTGGATGTGGTTATTGTCCATGGGAGAAAGGCAGAGAGGGAAAGGGGGCAGTGTTCAGCAGCCTCACAGCCGGGGGATACAGGCTGTTGGTCAGCCTGGTTGTTCAGGTGTTTATGGACCTGTGCTTTCTAACTGAGGGCAGCAGGTGGAAAAGGTGATGAGTAGGCTGGTGCCGGTGACGCAGACCACGGGTCATATAGATGCTACTGATCTGTGGGAGAGTCACAGTGACTTTCCCCACTGTTTTTACCACCCGCTGGAGAGTGTGTAGGTCAGCTTAGTGCAGCAGGAGAACCACACAAAAACTCCAGATGTCAGAACACTTCAGATGGCACAGTTGTAGAAGTTCCTCATTAGTGGACTGGAGATGTTGGCGCTCCTCAGTTTCCTCAAGTAGTAAAGGCGTTGTTGGGCCTCCCCACAGCTCAGGCAGTGTGAATGCCTCAGGACAGGTCCTCAGTCACGGTCACCCTTTCTCCAGGCGTTTAGTCTTCTATATGAGCTTCATCACTTGTTTTTGAGTCCTCCAAAAACCATTTGTCTCTTTTTGTTCCTCCATTAAATCCACAGGTCCAGTGTGCTCCTCAGCACCTGCACAGTTACAATATAACACAGGGATCAGACAGTAAAAATCTTGTTACAAAACTTGCAAAGATTTAGTATAGGTTCTTTTCTCTCACCACTGTTGGGCCAAGTCTCTTATTGGACCAGGCCTCGATCACCCCTTACTCACATGTGGCCGAGAACATCTGATGGGTCACACTCCAGAAAAGTTTCTGGATCCTAAAACACACGTTTAGTGTAACTTTACATTCTACTTTATCACCCAGATTTAAATTATTTTCAGATAATAACTTACAGAAGTCTGTGGATCATCTGACTGGAGCGAGACAAGCCACTGCAGCTGCATACGTCTCAGCAGAGCTGGCGATGACTGTGGCTCCTAAAAGTGCAATAAAAGTCATTATTTATCATTTTTTCATTATTAATTTTCTCATTTCTCAGAATACCTTGTGTTCTAACGTTACGATCAGGGCTCCCTCTGGTGGTGGTTGTGGACGACACCAAGGACAGCTCCATCAGCGACGCGCCTTTCTTTTAAAAGTGAACAACAGTCTTTAGTAATTAATACAAATATTACGTTAGTATTAGTCTTTACTCACCAGGACACGATGGCTCTGACTGGAACACATAGATGCTACTGATCTGTGGGAGAGTCACCCCAGTGACTTTCCCCGCTGTTTTTACCACCCGCTGGAGTGTGTAGGTCAGCCTTAGTGCAGCAGGAGAACCACACAAAAACTCCAGATGTCAGAACACTTCAGATGGCACAGTTGTAGAAGTTCCTCATTAGTGGACTGGAGATGTTGGCGCTCCTCAGTTTCTTCAAGTAGTAAAGGCGTGGTTGGGCCTCTCCACAGCTCAGGCAGTGTGAATGCTTCAGGACAGGTCCTCAGTCACGGTCACCCTCTCTACTACCTCAGTGCAGACAGAGAGTTTTATGGTTGTTTTGCCCATTTTAGTTGAAGTCCACAATAATCTGCTTGGTTGTTACCATGAGGCCAGATGTCACACATCGTTCCTGTAGTCCGTCTCATCATCACTGTCCTTTTTCTCCAGGCGTTTAGTCTTCTATATGAGCTTCATCACTTGTTTTTGAGTCCTCCAAAAACCATTTGTCTCTTTTTGTTCCTCCATAATCCACAGGTCCAATGTGCTCCTCAGCACCTGCACAGTTACAATATAACACAGGGATCAGACAGTAAAAATCTTGTTATAAAACTTGTAAAGATTTAGTATAGGTTCTTTTCTCTCACCACTGTTGGAGTGTCTTGTTCTTCTGGAGATCTTCATCAGGAGTGATGCTTCAGTTTTGATTAGACTGAACTTCAGAGTAACAGCAGATTACACAGACTGAAGGCCTTCTCCCTTGTGTTGGGCCAAGTCTCTTATTGGACCAGGCCTCGATCACCCCTTCCTCTCATGTGGCCGAGAGCATTTGATGGGTCACACTCCAGGAAACTTTCTGGATCCTAAAACACATGTTGAGTGTAATTTTACATTCTATTTTATCAGATTTTAATTATTTTCAGATAATAACTTACAGAAGTCTGTGGACCATCTGACTGGAGCGAGACAAGCCACTGCAGCTGCATACGTCTCAGCAGAGATGGCGATGACTGTGGCTCCTAAAAGTGCAATAAAAGTACAAAACTCATTATTTATCATTATTTCATTATTAATTCTCTCATTTCTCGGAATACCTTGTGTTCCAACGTTACAATCAGGGCTCCCTCTGGTGGTTAACTGCACTTTGTTGATGATGCCATGGACAGTTCCATCAGCGACGCGCCTTTCTTTTAAAGTGAACAAAGGTCTTTAGTAATTAATACAAATATTACGTTAGTATTGGTCTTTACTCACCAGGACACGATGGATCTGACTGGAACATACTTCTGGACATATATGTAATAAGATATCAACTTACACAGAGGCCCACCTCCCCAATCAAAGCCCTTTTAATGGAACTAGGGAGAAAGCCTTAAGTGTGCATCTACGCTCCTTCTGTGTAATTCATCCACAAATATTAGAGCGATGCACTTTGGTTTAGGCCCTCGTTTGAATGAACAACCATCCTGAAAAACAGAGGCTTTTGCGTACCAATGCGCTGTGCAAAAAAGCAAGAACAATGTTTTATCTTGTAAACACACAGTTAAAATTCACCTTAAACAGGAGAAGTAGGGAGTGTCCCACCAACCGACAAGTTAGTGAACAAACCCAAGTCTCCACATCTAACAAATCAGTATAAAGTAAAAGTACAGTCTCCACAGAGACTGTTTACAGGAGTATAACGTTACAATATAGTACACATTTGTATACTATTTGTAGTACAAGGTATTCGGAAAACAACTAATTAAATGGGAGAATTAAGGAGTGTCCCACCAACCGAAAACTTAGTGAACAAACCCAGATCTCCACATTTTACAAATTATTATAAAGTAAAAGTAAAAGTACAGTTTACAGAAAGACATAATGCCACGTAGATACACATGCATTGTAAAACAGTTTTAATTCTAAATACCATGGTTGTGCTAATTCTGCATTTTAAACTTAAATTACAATTACTGGGAAAAAAAAAGAGAGAGAAAAGAGAGAAACTTAGTGTCCCACTAATTCTCTAGTGAATGGACAAACACAAGTCTCCACATCTGTTTACAAGAGTATAACATTACAATATAGTACACATTTGTTCATTTGTGTACTACTTGTAGTACAATGTAGTCATAAAACAACAACAACAACTCGAACGGGAGAATTAGGGAGTGTCCCACCAACCGACAAGTTAGTGAACAAATCTAGGTCTCCACGTCTTACAAATTATGAAAAATAAAAAAAATAAAACCACAAAAAAAGAGAAACTGAGTGTCCAACTAACTGTTG